GGAGGGAAAGGCTTAGTGATTTAAACAATTGTAATTTGACAGTCCAAGAGTGAAACAAATTTTAATTCGAGTTAATAGTCTTTTATGTACACCCAAAATAGCAAAAATCATCGTAGATCACAGTAGATTAGGCCTGGAAAACAAATTCTTCGGAAACAAAATAACCCAGTCGCCCACCTACACCACCTTTATTTTATAAGGTTAATTCATTGTCTCTCCAAACACTCCGAGGTAGAGACTACTGAACTGGACAGCCCAGAAATATATGCGACACACGATAGTCCTTGGTGGTGGCAGCCCGGCAATTTACACGTTGCATTCCTCTGTCTAAAAGAGTGGCCAAAATAAAAAAAATCAGGTCGGACTTTTTGTGTTCGATAATTTTACTTTAAAGGTAAATAATGGCGACAAATCTGGAGGTGTGTAAGCCACTACATGTAAAACTTTTTATACATCACATCTGAGGTAAAGAGTTACTTTGAGGAGGCGCTCTTCTTCTTCTTCTTCTTCTATTTTTTTTTTTATTTTATTTTCCCTATCATACGGACCTTGGACAGAATTTGTCCTTTTCTGGTCAAGTGATCTCAAGTTCTAATCAGCATAAAGTAGATAAATGTTATCAGTAATTAAATAAAAACGTAATTTGTCAGAAGAGTTATATAAATCATTGAAGTACAACAAGAACAACAAGAACGCACTTACAGCGGCATCACGTCTCGCCTGCTTGGAGATTAGATCGAGAAATGAGGAGGCGATTAATTCTACAAGAAACATGATGTACTCGCTAAAGGTTTTTTACTTCCTACTTTATCGACGTCGATTATTTGTTTCTGAATTGACTTAGAACGCGTGTTAACGACGAACAAAAATACCTCTGCGGTCGCAGGCTATGGGCTACGCGTGTATAAATACACGAAAATTCAAGGACCTCGATTCCAGAGAAATGACATTATTGCCAGAGATCGAAAAAGTGATTTACATGGCACGTCATTTCAATCATCGCCGACAATAAATCGCATCCTCATCAGAAGACTCATTTGCATACAGTGAGAGTTTACAACACCATTTTGCTAATTAAGATTCTCATTTTTTTCGACCACTCAGTAGTGTTCACTTGCTCCAAAGTAATCAATGCTTTCAAGCGTTAGAATTCGTGGACCGACACGTTTCGGAAAAGCTCTAAATTTAATCTTTCCTAAGCTTTCTTCGCAAAACATGCGTGGCTTCGATCATGCAACGATTCTTAGTCCCAGTTTCCACGGTCTCCGCAAGGAACGCCTGGCACAATGACCTGCCTTTTGTGACCCAAAAAACGACCAAAAAATGCCAGGGGGTGCTTCCAGAAAAATTGGGAGGGGGTGTGCGGCACGCTTCCTGAAGCTCTTACCCTATTTCAGACCAAAATTTGTGATTTTCGCTACCCTATTTCGCCTAGCCCGGCGCGTGACCGGAGCGCGAGACAAGCTTTTACGGCACGTACACGGTAGTTGGCTTAAACATTAAAAGGGAAATGGTCTTATCGCCAAATGATGAAGAAGTAGCTAATTCTTCTAACTGAAAACATAGCCAATTCAAGACTAGAGTGCACAAACAATACCCTATTTCAGACCAAAACAGCCAAAAAAAACATACCTTTTGGCGCGGCACATACCGATAAAGCCTATATAAGGAACTACCCCCCGGGGCGAAAAACGCGTTGCAGATTATCAGTGTCGCTGCTAACGCAAGCGCGACTAAATGACTGATCCTTGCGAAACACCGCAATGACAGCGATCTTTGTTAGAAACTTGGGGACCAACCTGAGTATCGATCGTGTAGATAATGGGAGGAAAGACAGTTCTTAAGAGACTCTTCGGATTCCGTAATGTTCAAGTACCTGCAATTATACAATTGAGTGGTTGACAGTTTCAAACGCTTTCTTTAGGGCTATGAATATGCCGCAAGAGGAAAGTTTCTTGTCGATATTGAGCTGAATTCTATTAACAATATCACTGAATAAGAGCATGTTGAGTGGAGCATTTTTTCCCGGGAACCATACTGACAATGGTACAATAAATTGTGTATATCTAGAAACGATTTTAACCGATTGTATTTAAGTTTCTCAAAGACGCGATTAAACATTGACAGGAGTGAAATTGGCCTGTAGTTATTTGGGTCTAATTCATCCTCACTCTTGAAAACTGATACAATTACCTTTAGCAAGGTTTAACTTTTAAAAGGATCTTTGTTAATATTCCACCTGCTTATTTTTGTCAATTAATGGCGAATTTTCCTGGAGGTAAACCGTATCTAAGCTCTCTCAAAAAGAAAATTTCCGTCTTATGTTTACATCCTTCATGAAACGCGTATCTAGAAAATTGCCCGTTGTATTTTTGCAATGACGGCAACGAAATATACTAAACAATATAATGCACGGGCAGAGTTGTTAGTTGTCTACCATTTACAAAACGTTCCCGGAAAATCTTGTGGGAAAGTAAATGCAACAGGTCTGTTGGGTCATTAATATATTCCAGTGGAAAATTTCCAGTGAAAGGAACATCTGAAAAGGTATTCCTGCTTTTGCGGACGGAATGTTCCAAACACAAATTTTCAGTTTCTCTTGGGACTTAAAATGGCCCCAAGAGAAACTGAAAACAATGCTTATGCAAAATTTTGGGGTGACAAACAAAGAGCATTATGTTATGTTATGGTATTTTTGGAGTGGTCAATTGGTCTATACAAACGCTGAATGCGATTCTTGGACAAAATTTACCAGTCGTAAATTTGGCACCAACTAATTTGGTTGACATGTGTAAATGGTAAACAACTGTTGTTTTGCTTGATGAACCGATTACTTTTATGACGTCCTCGTTACCGTCGTTCTTGCTATGGGCATTATAATTATGCCATATCCGCGTTGAAAAAGTGCAGATGCCCATTTAACTTCAATTTGTTTTCCTTTTTTCGTTTTGTTTTGCTTTGCTTTGACTTTTTGTTTGTTTGTTTTTTCGCTGTGCAGATTTTTGAAGACAAGAGAGAATACCATCTTTGCCGCAAATACTTTTGCTGTGATGCACCATTCGAGGCTGAGATAAGAGTATTTTTTGACTTTGGTAATGGTTTAAAGAAAGAGGAGAAATCGGTGAGAATGAGTGTTGTGTCTACTACCCTAACACAAAAGCTGCAAAGCAAACTATCCCTTTCTTTATTACACTTTCAGCTGTACAAATGAGTACCTCTTAACCCTCGGAAGTACAAGCAAAGTTTATAGGAAAAGAAAAACGTTTGCACTCGACAAAAATCTAAGACATAGCCTGGGTACCAGAAGTTTTTGTTGTTGTTGTTGTTGTTGTTGTTGTTGTTGTTTTTGCTGCCGTTAGGCGCGATTCTTTGATGTTGGTCGACACATCTTCGGCCAAAGGCCGAAGC